GGACAGATGTTGGGTGTGTGGTCCTGTGTTTTGTTGGGGTATATTTAATACAGTATACTTCTAATCGCTATTTCAATCTTTCTAATTACTTCTCGCTCTGTTTTTCTCTCTGTCTCTATTTTCTCTTCACTTAAAAAAAGTCCCTGATGATGAAGAAATAAATAAACTAAATAAACTAATATTTGGTTTCATTTTCTACTGAAGTGACACTAAAAATGATATTTGTTTTATAAATCTAAATTTAGGAAAGGACAGCCTTCAATAAATTGAGTGGAAGCATTTTTCTTAATAAGTCATATCAACTGTAAATACAGTTTTGTTTTTATTAAACTAGACCTTTGTGTATTAAAGGTGATACCCCAACTCCCATATTGCTGTAATTGTCTACCAATAGACAGTTTAGTAAAACAGTTTGTTATTGATCTTTTTACTTTTTAATTTTTTTTCTTTTAACTTGTTTTAGAAATTGAAAATAATCTACTTTTGTTCACAAAATTATGCAGCAACAAGCAAATAAAAATGTTTTTAAAATAATTTGAAATATTGGCTTTTTAACTGTAGTAAGCTTGTTTGTAGTAAATGTTGTTTAAATTAAATATTTGACCTTTTTAAAAGGAAGAGACAAAAAAGCATTTAAAGCGTTTAAAGTATTTGTATGCAAAGATGCAAAACATAGTAGAACAATGGGACTGCTGAGGAACTCAAAATCACATCTCTCCTGGTCTCTGCACATGCTGTTATCTATCTACATGTAAATTAAGGAACAAACAGGGGTGAATAAAAAATACCTTAACAGAAAATAACTTTGGTAAAAATTCATTTCACTTTTAAGAAAAGTACTTAAAGTCATAAAACTGCTCACAATAATTGGGAAAGTAAATGTAAAAGTAATTTTACAGTGTTGAATTTATTTAACAAAGTTAAGTCAACTGATTGCATTAAACCAAATTAATGAGCAAATTACACATTTTCTTTAAAAAAATGACATGGCAATTCGAAACGATATTTGATGCAGTGAAGCTCGATTCATTTCAATTTTGATATCAATGCATATTACTTTTTAACTTATTGCTCAATGCCAATGACGCAACAAAATCAGCAAAGTATTATAAAATTAAACATTCATAATAATAAAAAACAAAATGTTTCCAAATGTCTGATTTTAAGGACAAAGGCAWTTCAAGAATACTGCTGGCATTTTCTCTTCCTCATCAGTCTCACTTGCAGCCTGCTGTAGCTCTGAGCAGGAGTTACACATCATTAAACTGCCCCCTTGGTGAAGTGGTGTATGAATATTAATACTATATTATTTTTATTTGGATATACTGTATATTTATATCTCAATTTTTATGCACAGCCCTAATAACCACGTGTTAGAATTTTTAAAAATGTTTAATGGCTTTTTGTTTTAGTGTGCCACCTCAGGACTTTCAGTGGCCCCACATGGCCACCCCAACAAAACAATCTGGATGCGCCASTGGCAGGAGGTGAGAACGATGAAAAAAAAATAAAGTCTGCTGGTATTAAATGGATCCAGAAGTCAATCAGGACTCGTTGTTGTGCCCTGCATGTTTACAAGACTCTGAAGAGGGCTCTCAGGTTTACACACAGTTTACAGCAGGAGAGATTTACAAACATCAGCCTGACGATGCCCAAAATCATCTGTGGCATCAAGCCTGAAAGTGATCCCAAATTCAAGTCACGAGAAGTGTTTGAATACTCACGGGCTTCAGCAGCACGCAGGAGAAAAAAAGACAAATGCTTCCGGAAAACTGCACCAACATCTTCCTTTGAATAAGTCAGATTGTTTAAATGTTTTTCTTTTAAATCAAGATTCAGTGATAATCCGAGGCGGTTTGGATAACTCCCTGTGACTCTGTGCGTCCTGCGCTCAGGCTGTGGAGTGTTCTGCTCCGCGCCACGAGCCCTATCCTCCTCCTACCCCTCTACCCCTCCTCCTCCTCCTCCTCCTCCCACCTCAGCATTACCTTGAACAGCCAACAAGTAACCAATCAGAAGAGGATCAGTGCGTCAGTGTGGTGCACCAAACACGAAAGAAAACTCACACAACGAAGACAAACATCTAGATTTCACTGATTTAACAGCTTTTATAAAAAAAAAAAATAAAAAAAAAAAGTAAAAGAAAACAGGCTACAGCAAATTTTATTCACATTTAAATTGCTGGGTTATTTAAATAAATTGATTGATTAAGCCTCAGATGGTTTTGTGGAGAAAAATCAGTCCCATTTTTATTTCTGTTTGTGGTTTTATTCTTTTAATTTTGRTTTCTTTTTTTTTTAGTTGTCAATTAAATCAACCAATACTGTCAAATATGGGAGAAAAAAAATCAAAAATTGCTGTCTGTCATTTGAAATGCACCCTTAGGGGAAACAAAACAAATTGTAAAAATCAACCCACTAAAATCCAATAAAAAACATGTTTTATCCCAAATTTGAAATGTCTGAACATAACTGCGTGTAAGCCAAAACCCATCACCTGAGTTGATGACAAACTGAAACAGGTGAGCGTGGGTACGGCAGACAAAGGATGCGTGAGGATGAGTGACAGATGGCACAGGGAACACAGAACATACCATCCGTCTGCACCATTTGCCTTGCAGGATCTCTGGTGCCCATGTCCAGTAGTCACTGTGTAAAGGGAGGGGCACAGGTTGCAAGTCCATCACAGGACCACACAGAAACCTGCCTAACACCTGGGTGGGAAATCCTGGTCCTCATGGACATATTTTACTTGTTCCTCTGATTCAACACACCTGATTCACTGATTGAATTCCCTTTCTCAAGTTCTGCCTAAGCTTTTTAATCATCCATTCATTCAAATCAGTGCATTGGAGCAGAGAAACCTCTAAAATGGATAGTGGCCCTCGGAAACTGGAGTGTCTGGAGGAAACACGGTCACAGAGAGAACATGAAAACACCCAGAACGGTCCATGGATGGGATTCAGTCAGCCGCTGTCTGTCCAAGGCAAAGAGGGTCTTTAAAGACCACCTCCATCCTGGTCGCCACRGGCTCAGCCTGCTGCCCTCGTCTTCCTGTGACAAGTGGTTTGCTGGTTCGATCCCCGGTTCAATCCATATGTCTTATTTGTTGTGTTCCTGGGCAAGACACTCCACCCACCTTACCTGCTGGTGGTGGACAGAGGGTCCGGTGGTGCCGGTGCATGGCAGCCCCGGCCCTCCTCTGTCAGTCTGCCTGAGGGCAGCTATGGCTACAATGTACTTTATGACCATCAGTGTGTGTATAAATGAATAATGCATGCTAATTGTAAAGCGTAGTACAATACAAGACTAATACATTCTTATTATACAAGTAAAATATGATAAATTATTAAAATATAACACATACTCTGGTCTTTATAGTTTCTTTGGCCTCTTATAAAGGACTGAAACATTGTCCTTATCTCATGAATGATGTTAGTGTTTATTTTTGTAAAGTGATTTATATAAATTTCCTTTAATTGGTAAAGTCTGGTCCTACACAACTGATAACCAAGATCARTCAATAAACTGACTCTTTTTTTAGGCCCAAACTAAATATCCAAAAGTTTTCACATGATCATTTTGATGTGAAACAATCAACCATCTTAAAATGACTGCTGCTTTATTTTCTTGTGTCATCTGTCTTAGAAAAGAATTTAATTAAAAAGGGCATCTGAAGACGCCAAACACAATCTTCTCATGACTCCTGTTGAATCTCTTGGACCTAAAAAAGTTTAGGAGCACCAAGGCTGTCCATATTTTTTCTGTTTCTGAGTTAATTTAAGTTCGGTTTCATGTATCTACAGCACAAAATCACAACACAGTTTCATATCTTCCCACAATGTAAATACAAAACAGATGATTTCACTTGAACTGAGTTTGTAATCAGTGCTGGTAAGTGTTTGCAGACACCAGAAACATTTTTGTGTTCTGTTTTAAACCTTATGGATGACATCAAGTCTGCAGGCCAAAGTGGTCTGTGGGCCAAAAGTGGCCACTGAACAAAGCAGCCTGAAGCAGCTTTATAAAAATGAATCCTGAAAAACAGGAAAAACACAACACCTGCCTCCGTTTTCAACAGAGGTAAAGTACTTGAAAAGAATGATTAAATAAAAGTAAAAATGATTAAACAGAAAATAAATTWGGTAAAAATGTATTTCTGATAGAAAAGTTTTTGAGTAAAAGGCATAAAGCTGCTCACAGTAAAGTTTCACTCCAGGAAGTGAAGTGTTGAATTTACTTAACCAAACTGGTTCCACTAAACTGATTTGAGTAAAATGATAAATTTACAGATTTTCTTTTAAAGAACAGATGTAAATTACTTTACATTTATTTATGTCACTTATTGGAACCAGTTGACATCTTGACTAAATTATTCAACATTTCATTTTGTAGTGAACACAAACCACTTTTTTCAGGAGAGTTCAGGACATATTTATGGAAGCCCATTTCCGCCACCCTGATAAAAAATAAATAAAACTTGTATCTCATAATTATGACTTAGCTATATCATTATTATGAGACACTATCTCATAATTATGACTTAGCTATCTCATAATTATGAGATAGCTAAGTCATAATTTTGAGATACAAGTTTTATTTTTTTATCAGGGTGGCGTAAATGGGCTTCCATACAAATTTAAATTTGTAGGATTTAAATTTTTAAAGGAAAGAAGTAAGAGTGTCATTTTTATGACTTGAATGTAAAAAAATCAATAAAGTTAATGTTTCAATTAAAAAAACATGGTCAAATTACAAATCCTCAAAATAATAACTTACCGTAAGTTCTGTAACAAAGTAAATGTGCTTTACTAAACACCTGTGATTTTCAGCAGAAAATACTGTTTTTGTTTTAAACTTTGAATCTACTGTAACTTTTTGTTCTCCGGGTTCAGATCAATAGTTCTTGCAGAACCAAACTTGCTTCAAGAAAAACAAAACAAAACAATAATAAGTGACCAAAAGTGAGCAAGGTTTTATCTGTAAAACTAAATATGATTTTAAAGGATGTATGATGACTCACTGATAGACATTTTCAAATCTTTGACTAAATGACCCTCTGGAAAAATAAAATGTTGACACTCAGATGATCTATCTGGATACAGGTCAGACTCAGGCACAGCTGGCARGACAGTGTTTGGCCTAAAAGTTTTAAAAAAATCTGTTTATTTATTTGAAAGTGGAGAATCCAGCTCATAATTAATCAAAAGTTACGAGGGCATTGTTTCTGTGGGCTGCAAAGACCCACAGCTGCAGAAAACATGCAGGGTTTGTCACTATTTGTCTACTTTCTTAGAAAAAAATTGTCACCTTTTTTACCAACCAGTAGGATACTAGAATATAAAGAAAGACCTTGAATGTACTAACACTTGAACATGCTTTCTGACTGTGTAACTCAGCGTGTTGGAAGCTTTAATTTATGTCTGAATAAAAGTTATAAGTGAGGCCTTTTGAGTTCTGCACGTCAAATCTCTTGAAATCACAAAATATCTAAACTGGACATTTCTCTCTGTTCAGTGTTCTCGAATTTCATTGTTCGTGCTGTCACCTTTCATCTTACATACACAAGTATATTTTTTTCATTAGAATGTACTGTCACTATTGTGTAGTGTTGACCCAGGAGAGCATACCAGGAAGCTAGAATAAAACTTGCTGACATGGCWTCAAAACCTCACAAGACTCTCAAGAGGAACACAAAACAGAGCAAGACATGGCATCAACACATATTTTGTGTTTATGTGGTGTTTACGTGTTTTTATTATTAATTGCAAAATATTTTATTTTATACCATTTTTTTCTTATTTTTATTACTGTTGGATGTTGTTTTGTTTTTATTATCTGGAGGACTACAGATGTAAATTAGCCTTAGGCTAAATC